GCTTATACTTAGCGTAATTACTTATAACTCATAAACTACTCAACCCAAATTCGATTTTTATGTATCAAAATACTAAGAAAAATATTCTGCTTTGGAATATAAAATTAAAACCCTATGTTGTTATTCAAAAAAGTAAAAAACTTAAACAATTATAAGGATAAAAAATATTTAAAAATATAATTTTTTAATAAAAACGTTGTTTTATAAGCGACTTGAAACTATGTAAAAAAATATCTTCAAAAAAATTTACACTTTTTGAAATAATGAGTGTTGTTTGATAAAAGAATTACGCTGTATATTGTATGCTAATTTGTGAACTGTCAATTCAATAATATAATCATACTGTTTTTTTTTTTATATTAAATTTCCTTTTAATATAAAGCTATCGCATATATCACACCCGCATATTCTACATGATTGCAAAACCCGCACTGGCCTATTGTGGTATTATTTCAACCAGGAAGGTAAATTAGTTTTTGTTTAATACATCTGCCCATTACCTATCTACCGTATATTATGTTAAGTATGCTACCTGTCGAAACTTCGAATGTTGCGTAGTAACTTGCTTACTACAAGAATATAGATAACTATTATTTTAGGCACATAGGTACATATTTTCTTATATTATGCCATAGAATTATGCAAAATACCAAAACAATAATTATTAAACAACATAATATTATATCAATGATATCAGTATTACGAAATTACTCTAATAAAGGAATAATTATTATTGATGCAACAGGCAACGGTTTTTGTGTATTTTTAAATAGTTATTTTCTATATTTTAAATACTTAAAAATATTTGTTTACCATGGGTAGAAAACTGTGAGCTGTGATTTCTTGTTACAATACAGGAAAAGAAAATCTTGGAATTTCATTTCATAGATTTCCAAGTGATCAACACATGTAGTTTTTAAAGACTTAAACTTATTTTTAAATTTTAATTCAATTACAATCTTAATTTCTATAAAATTATTATTATAGATGTAGTCAATGGGTGAAACTAACAAAAAATAGTATAATGATTAATAGTTTTAAACAAAAGGGGTCGGACTCAGTAAAATACAAAGTGATATGTTCAACACAATTTACTAATGAAGACTATTCAATTTGAAACGATGTTGGAAATAGAATGTCTGTAAATTATACCTAGTTATTTTAAGATAATTGTATTTTATGTCCTTACTAGACAATTAACAAGATTCAAATCAATAATTATTAATTATGCAGGTTATTGTATAAAGGTGCGATTCCGTCATTAAATCTACCTACTTCTGTGTATTGTAACAAGAGTGTGTTGGATAAGCAGGATACAACATCAATTTGGAGTCCAAATGTTTTGAGTCCATTATTAAAGAAAGTGCTGAATAACACAAATCGTAATAAACAAGAGATCTTTAATGTCTTGAAAAATATATTATTACCAAATCAAAAAAAAACAATCTTCTTTTCAGTTGATGGTAGACCGTTCAGTCAACAACCGAAAGTATTCATTCCAAAAGTTAATAAAGTGTTATGGAACATTTATGAACATTATGGTGATTAAATACTTAAAAATTAAATATACCTGTTAAAAACATTTTAAATTAACAATTAATAATAATTATTTTTAATCTTTTAACTTCAGATCAAAAGTTTACAGCAAGCTGAAGATACTTCCTGTAGTTTAATACCCAAGTCTTCAATTGACTCTGAAAATAATATAATCAATAATGAAAATCTTGGCAGTACATTTAATTAACTCTACTCTAGTTGAGTATTTAAAAAAACTACTATTTTAACTAATTTGTTATTTTACATTTTAGTGTCCAATTTAGTCGACAAGAACACACCATGTAGTGAATTGTTCAACCTTCAAATGTTAAGGACGAAAAGAGTAAATCATCTACTATTAAATACTTTTAAGTTTTATTATATTAAGCTTTGTGCTTTAATTAGAATGATAACTTTTAGGTCTCACTTAATACTCGCTTTCTACTGTAACCCAAAACTACCATTTTGCCTAGTTTTCCCAGTTACCTATCCACTTGCCCACCAAAGACTACATAAGCATATTTCCTGTTTCTGAAATTTATGATGAGTAACTTCAAGTCAAGCGTCATTATATAAAATTTAAATTTTTACTACTGATTTTTAAGTGAATTGTCTAAGCTCTATTAATTATTATATTTTATTTTATTTTTTACATCCATTTAATTCTCGTTTCATATAACACTGATAAAATGCCTACATTGTGTCTGAAGTATTAAGAAAATTTAGGCAAGTAACAACGATTATTTATTAATTGAAAATAAGTAACATGCTTATTTTATTTTGTATGTGTTTGAAAATTGTGCATCAATATGATGTAAATATCAATGAATCATGAGATAAACCTAACACAAACGGATAAATGGATCAAAATGTATATAAACGCTGCATTTCTTATGACATAACAAATTAAATTGAAGACTAAAATGACTATGAAATATGAATACATTGTTTGATGGCTGTAACAGTTTTAATGATATTTTAATAAAGTACAATACTTATTTGATTTATAGATTTATTTAATTCTTAATTTTTAAGTTCCTTTGAACGGAGATAGTCAATATGTACAAGGTATAGTAAATTTCCTCAATTTGTATTTTATTTAACATACATAGTGACTGATTACCTACACTTTAAGGTATAAATTAAATACAACATATAGACATATATAACATTATATAGAAAGAGTAATATAATATAAATATAGCTGGTGTTGTTAAAATTTTTTAATCAAAATAATTTTATCCCCATATTTATATTGTTACTATTAATTATGACCCCCTATGGGTGGGGGGTAGAATACACCCATGGTAGTCCACACCGATCGTAAAAAGCGATCAAAGTGGACCCAGCCTTCCTGGCAGGGAGTTCGGTGAGAGACTAACAACCTCTTCCGGTAAAAAAGTACCGTTTCGCAACCAAAAAAAAAAATCAAAACTCGGACATAGAGAATGGGATAAAGACTGGACATGGAAATTGGACTAAGAGGATTAAACAAAGGAAAACGGACTGGACAATCGCAACTTGGAATATACAAACTTTGCTGCAAGTAGGGAAAATGAACGAATTATCATTAGAGATTATAAAATATAACATTGACCTTGTAGCACTACAGGAACTTAGATGGCATGGACAAGAATATATACATAAGAAAGACTATACATTATACTTAAGTTGTCCAGAAAAAAAACAGGATACTATGGCGTCGGATTCTACGTAAGCAAGAAAATGAGCAAGTTCTTTTTAAACTTTGAAGCCATATCAGACAGAATATGCAAAATAAGGTTCAAAGCTATAAACAAGTCATGGCAAATCTGCGCCTTTGCAGATGATTTATTAATAATGGCAAAAAACGAGAATGACATGCGAGAGGCATACCATGATATTGAATATAAAGGACAAACGATGTTATAATTATGATATAATTTTGAGGGTGTAAAAGAGTTTGTGTATCTTGGATCCTCCCTTAATAACAGTAGCAACATGTCGGAAGAGATTAAAAGAAGAATTATGGCTGCCAACCGAGCATACTTTGAGAATATCAAACTTCTCAAATCAAAACTGCTGTCGAAAACTACTAAGATGAAACTATATAGAACACTTATTCGACCTGTAGTCTGCTATGGAGCTGAAACTTGGACATTGTCAAAAGCAGATTCCAACAGGTTTAAGATATTCGAAAGAAAAATAATAAGAAAAATATATGGAGTAGTAAATGAAGAGGGAAGATGGAGGATATGGAGCAACAATGAAATAGAGTGGATTTTAGAAAACAAAAACATAGTTAAATTTATAAAGTCAGGCACTATCAGATGGTTGGGCCATGTGGAAAGAATCTATGAGGAAAAAATACCTAAACGCGTAATGTTGGCAAGAATGGAAGGAACCAGAAGACAAGGACGACCAAGGAGTAAATAAAGAGACGAAGTAAAGAAAGACCTACAACAGATGGGTATAAGATAGGGAAAGTGGAGAAGAATTGTTTTGGAAGCCAAGGGTCACTATGGCCTGTAGTGCTTACGAGTAGTAGTAGTAGCAGAACTATTAATTATGAAGATACTAGTAAGGACTTTTTTTATTGAATTTATACAATATTATGTTTATTGATTTCTTAATTTCCTATTTTCGGTGTTAGTTGATGTTAGATTAAGAAAAAAATAACATTATTGTACCTGTAGCGAGCTGTGACTATCTTCTCAAATAACAATCTAAATCTCATTCTAATATGTACGTAATCATATAGTGGACGCGCCGCGTAAATATAAATATAATTATAATATGCGAGCGTTTGCTCGCGTAAGCATTAATGATAATAATAATATCGATGGTACCGCGTATACAGTACGTGTGTAGTAGTGACGATAGCGCATATAGCGCGTGACCATGAACGACATGCGTCAATAGATATATGACTACGTATATAAATAATTTAAAATATTAAAATGTAGGATTTGTGCTGTTATATAAAATAACATTACAAATAACAAGATGTTATCCGATAACATCTGGCACGTGCCAAAACGATGACCGTGTGACAAATCCCACGCTAGGCCTAACCGCAGAATGACCATTAACAGTCATGTGAATCTATAGAAGGGACTGGACACAGACCCATCGAGGAGAGCTGATGGACAAGCGTTCATCAGACGAGCAACCAGCCTCAACTTCAATAGACACCAGCTAAATACTTAGTTACATCTCGCTCACAGCAGTTAATTAATTTAAATATTGGACTTAGAGAAATCTTCAATATAATTTGTACTGAGTTAAAGAATAAAAACCTAATTATTCCAATCATCTTCGTGGCATTTGATTCAATCTTACTTCCACGTTACAACTGTAGTAGTTGGCACGCTACATACCCAAGAAAGTAAATTTTAAGAATCTGTAGGTACATAGATCTCATTATTTTAAGAGTGTTAATTCTTTTAAATACATATTCCTGTCTTTTCAATAATGTCTAGCATACTAAGAGAATATTTTATTTGACAATGTTTAGATAATCGCTTACGTGTCCATCATAATCCTCAATTACGTGACCAAGAAAATAAAAGATTAAGATTAAAAATTAGAACAATGCAAAGTTATGATGCAAATGTATATGACATATTGTATAATCTAATGTATAGTCAGTTTTTATTTGTGTTTTAGGAACTTTATTGGAGTTGGTGATTTGTTGTGTTGTTACATGTTTATATAAATATAATATATATTTATATTATATGTTTGTATGCAGATATATTCATTAATTTGACTTTAGATAGTCTTTAATATTGTCAACTGGGAAGGTGACCAAAACAACAATTTATTTGTTTGTAGTGTTCATTTACAAATTACAATGTATATTTCAGCAAGAACTCGGCTGAGGACTCATTTAATGGTGTACATCCATCAGGGAAAATGTAGTCTGACTTCAAAAATACTGATATCAAGATCGTGAGTGGTGTTACGACCAGACTCTGAATGTCTCAAATATCCATACTTTCTGTCTAGCTCTGGTCTTGGTCTCCCTTTTAAATAATTGTCATAAAGAGTGGGTGGCGACTCTATTATATTAGGGGTCTTGAAAATGTGTTTATGTGTATTCTTGTTGATTCTTATAGATGAGACATCGAGTTTCAACTTTTTTAATTATTATAAGACACTCCACGCTCTTTGTCTTGTCCTCGCATGCTTGTGTCAATGTAACAGTACAATTGAATTTTGTTTTAAATTTTAATATACTTTTCCAAATACCTAGATAATATAAAAATGACTATACATTAGTTACAAATCTATTTATTTTATACAGCATTGTGAACAATTTAGGTACCTTATTAGTTATTATTATATTAATAAACTTTCAATATTTAAAATAGCATTATACACAAATTATTGTTTCTTATTGATAAATTAATAAATGCTGTTATGTATTTAAGACCCTTATCCTATATTTATCCTGTGAGTACCTTAAAAAAAAAAATATTATAAAATATGAATTAAAAATTCAAGTCTTCTACCTATAAAAATATATACATATATTAAAGGTGTAAAATGTATTAAAATTGAATATTAAAACTTTAAAAAGGTCCATGACTTTTAGCATTTCTTTGGTTTAAGTTTATGTTCAATCCAAGGTTTCGTTTTTTTTTCACTGTAGTCTTTTCTCCTAATGGAGGTCGACCAGCTAATAATCGTTTACTTCCTTTAGTAACTTTTGCAGACCTCCTTTCGATTGACGTTGGTTGAACTTTGATCATAGCACTATCTCTTCTTCTCAATGCAACCGTTGACCAGTAGTGTGTAAAAAAGTTCCCCATTGTCCTTCAGTTTTAATTTTTTTAATACGTTCTTCTAATTTGAGAATACCACTCGAAGATGAACCAAAATTTTCATGACAATTATTCATAATTTTTAATATATTTTCAAACATCATTTTTTTTTTTCATTATCATTATTTTCAATTCTAGATGTGCTAGGTCTATTTTCTTCAGTATTACCGTTTTCAATTGTTTTAATTTTAATATTATTAATTGGACCGTTATTTTATTTTATGAAAGGTTCATAAAAGGATTCATCTACAACTTTATCTCCATAGGCAATTTTAGCTATGCTGAAACGATCTGTAGGAGTTATAACTGGACAATATTCAGACTTAACACCAAAATATTTATAAAAGGCACATTGGTGTTTACAAAATTTTTCTGTAAGAGCAGCTGAACAAGAACAAAGTCCACTATTAGTGTCAGCATAGTACATTAAACCAATTTTCCGACCACTTTTCACGGACCACCTTGGCTTTTGGGTCTGGGAAAAAATGTCGAAATATCGAATAACGTCTAAGAGGTTTTTTATTCGTATACTGTATTAGAAAAACATCCGGTAGTCACATTTTTGATTTTTCGATTTTCCGACCACTTTTCACGGACCACCTTGGCTTTTGGGTCTGGGAAAAAATGTCGAAATATCGAAAAACGTCTAAGAG